ATTAAACTAGTATAAAAATTAATTAAAAGAAAAAATAAATTCTAAGTTAATTTAATTAAAGGAAATTAAAACCTAGGTCTAATATTAAGAAAAGAGATTAAATTTATAATAAGAAAATATTTTTGGTCTTTTGTCTTAATGAAATAAAAGTATATTGATATATAAATAATAAAAATATCTTTTGAGATTTTTTACTAAATAAAAATAAAAATAAAAATAAAAATAATATTAATACTAAAAAGAAAATAAGGTAAGAAAAATAAAATAAAACTCAGGTGGGTGTGAAATTTATTTAAGGTGTATGGAAGTAAAATAGTTTTTGAGTTTGGCCTGGTCCATTAGCATTTTTGTTAATCAGCAAAAGAAAAGAAAATAAAAAAACATTGGGCATGCGCTGTAAAACCTGCAAAGAGGGGGGTTAGGAGAAGTAAAAATACAAAGGCCCAGTTGTGGAGGCCCAAGGCGCGCTGACTTGTTCAAACAAAGAAAAGATGGAAAATGTTAGAAAAAAGCAAAATGGCAGCGTTGGGGCTTGAACCCACGCTCTTCTCATAATACGCGCGCTGCCTTACCACTGGGGTGGCTATACATCCGTTAACTTAAACAAAACCATAAATATATATTACAAATCCATTCCTAGAAATAAACTTCATCTTCAACCTTGAGTCAGGGTCCCTGTATCTCATTCATTTCTCATCCATTCTAAAAACTTCCAACATCAAACTTGTTGGAAATTTTACCAGGATTTCAGAAATATAAATAATTTGGACTAAAAATCAAAGATGAACATGTATTTCTAAAAGTACCAAATCCTGACCTAACTTTTTTCAGATATTCAAACTTAAAATTCTCTAAGCTCAGGCAAAATAAATGAAAACTATGGATATATACAGCTTCAGGGCAATGATATCTATATTTTGTCTTTGTAAATGAAAGCCTAACAATGCCTAAATAAAGAGACGAAAGTTCAGAAAAATACCTCAAGAACTGGAAATCCTGAAATGAGTTTGAGTTGCTTTCAAAGAGTTGTGATGATCAGGTTAGCTTCCTTGGACCTCTAGGAAGCTAATGCAATGCTTAGCTTGAGCTATGGATGGCTGGAATGGTCTGGAGAAGTCAAGTTGCAGACCTCTGTTTTTGGTTATGGAGGATAGTGATGGAGATGTTACAGTTCCAAAACAAGGACAAGGATGGAATATATTTGAGGTATAGAAGCTTTGCAAATGATTTTGAGGGAAAACACACGAGGGAAATGAAAGATACAAGTTCAAGGGCAGGACTGCGTATCAATGGTGTTTTTTAATAAATTTCTAGTTTGTGAGTGTTTGAGGGAGTTTCAGGGCCTTAGCATTCATTTCCTAGCTCATAAATAATGCCTCTATTTATAAGCAAAAGGTTTGGAGTGCTCTACTTGATCAGAATTCAAATTTACATGTTTAAGCTCAACATGTGATTTTTTGACAAAATAAGTTTCCATGCCTGGTACTTGGTTCATAGAGTTTTTAAACACTTTAAACACAATACCTCTGAATTTGTGGATGAAGTGTAATCAAAGAAAACAAGTTAGGAGCTCAAGAAGCTGACTTTGTGCATAAAGCTTGCTTTACAAGAATGGATATGTTACTTTCTCCCCAAAATGGCAAATTGATTTGGATAATGCTTGAATAAATTGGATAATGGTTCAATCAATTGTGTAAACAACTAATTATGGAGTGAAACACAAGTTTAAAGCCTTCAAAATGGAACCATGTGAAAATGACCTATAATTCAAGAATGAAACCCTAACTTCTTCTCTTCGATTCTCCTTGATCAAGAATGATCTCAATGAGTTCTTGGACATTTTGGAAATATTGTAACATCCTCTACAACCTTTATGTTGGACATTTTTGAAGAATCAACTTGGAACCATGTGAAAAGATGCTATGAAGTTAGTACCAAAAATCTGCCTAACTAGGGCAAAATTTCACTAAGTCTTTTAGTTTCATGGACATGTCTTCATAAATTTATAACTTGAAATCCAAGCATTTCTAGAAAAAGTTATGCCCTACAATGTTTTAGATCTCATTGAGATCTACAACTTTCATGTTGGAAGTTTTCCTTGAACCATTTTACATCATGGTGGAACTTTGGCACAAAGTTATGAAAAAATGTTAACTTTCTAACACTTAGAAAATTTCTAAGTCCTAGAATTTTGACTTTTCAAACATAATTTTGAATTTTGAATTTCTTGATGAACAAATTTCATATTTTGACATGCCTTGATGAAATATGATTTTTGAAACTTGATTTTGATCAAAAATTCAAAGTTTGACTTTTCAGTGTACAATTGACTTTTCATCAGTTGACTGAAATTCATCTGACAATCCAATGATCTTGAGAGGTGATTTGAACTATGAAATTAGGTCAAGATGGTGCATTTGAATCCTTGAGATCATGTCTTAAACCAATAAGTCATTTTCTTGGTCAAAAGTCAAGAACTGAGCCTTCTCAGTCAAAACCCTAATTTTGACCATTTTACCCTTTTGGTGTTCTGATCAAATTTCTTTGAGGAATTATGATCTAAACTTGATCAATTGACATATATGAGTTCATAATATTGATATGGATAAAAAATTGTGAAGTTTGACTGCAAAATGACCACAATTGACTTTTCCCTAAGACAATTGATTTTAGGTCAACTGATCAATTGACTGAGCAAAAATGTGTCCAAAGCTTGAAACTTGACATGAGAAATCTTGGGGATCCAAAATGATCCATGAAAGTCATATAAGGCATTAGAAGTTCAATTATATTTGTACAAACTCAAACCCTAATTTTGAGTTGTCTATGTTTGAGGAGTTGTCTTGAGTTGATCAAACATTGTGTAGTCTTGAATCAATGGAGATCTTATGAGAGATTTCTTGAGAAAATGAGAAGGCAAATTTTGGGGTACAACAGTAGCTTATCAATCTCACAAGCTAGAAATTTCGATACCGCCTTCAAAATCAAGTTATCCAAATGAACACCAAAGATTTTACTTTTATTCAAATTAATGCGAAGATCCGAAACAAGCACAAACCCCCTCAACATGGCCTTGATGCACCACAAATTGGACTACGATCCATCACAAATAAGCAATGTATAATCCGCAAATTGTAACATTTCAAAGTGAATAAGATCATTAAAATGAAACCCCTTAAAACTTCCCGATGCCAACGCATTATGCGTCAATCTCGAGAAGACCTTTTCCACCAAAAGGAAAACAAAAGGAGAAAGTATATCTCCTTTTCTAAGACCTCTAATAGCCATAAAACCCTCTGTAGGACTACCAATAACCAAAATAGATAAGGATCTAGAAAAAACGGCAGCATTCGTCCAAGACATCCATCTATGACCAAAACTCATTCTCAAAAGAATATTACAGAGAAAACCCCAAGAAACACAATTGTAAGCCTTCTCAAAATCAACTTTAACCACCGTACGTTTCCTTCACATCCTTTTAGCATAATCAATAATCTCATTAAGAACCAATACAACATCTAACATTTGTCTTCCTTCACCGAAAGCTGTTTGAGAAGGGGAACCTAGTTTTCCAATAACAACTTTCAACCTAGCCGCTAACAACTTTGCGATTAGACGATAAAGCAAACTAACCAACCAAATAGGCCTAAACTCATCAACACTATGAGGATTGTCAGACTTCAGAACAAGAGCTATAAAAGAAACAGTAATGGCTTTAGAAAGTTTTCCATGAACAAAAAACTCATGAGCGAAAGTCACCAACTAATATTTCACTAACGTCTAACGTCTTTTAAAAAACCTAGAAGAAACCCATTCAGACTCGAACTTTTGTCCCAATCACTCAACCAAACCAAATCTCAAATCTCTTCAAACAAAAAAAGAGTCTCAAGAAAATTGATATATCATGTTTTAAAAACAACGTATGAAAAAATTATATTTATTATTATTTTTACTTCCATAAAATATTAGATATTTCTAAATAATCTCTACATCTTTATGTCACATGACCCATCAATACATTTGCATAAAGAAATTGATCAAAAGGAACATAATTTCAACCAACAATATATTAAAATTTCATTATATAAATATGTAACAAGTCACTGTCCTTTATGTCATACAATTAATTTATTGTCCTTTTTACCATTAAGTTTGGTTAAATGTCTTGATGTAGATAAAACTTTTCTTGATTAAATTATTTCATTGAGTTGACTAATATCTTGAAATTGATCTATCATGATTGAAAATAACGTATGAAAAATTATATTTATTATTATTTTTAATTCCATAAATAATTAAATATTTCTGAATAATCTCTTTATATTTAATCTCTATGTCACATAACCATCTACACATTATATTGGTTAAATGTCTTGATGTAGATATACCATTTCTTCATTAAATTTTTTCATTGATTTAAATTGATCTATCATGTTTGAAAATAACGTATGAAAAAATTATATTTATTATTTTTTCTACTTTCATATAAATATTTATACATTACTGAATAATCACGTCACATAACCATCTATACAATTTGCATAAAGAAATTTGATCAAAAAGAACATCATAATTTCAACCAACAATATACAAATTGTAACAAGTCAATGTCCTTGATGTCATACAATTAATTTATTGTCCTTTTTTACCATTAAATTGGTTAAATGTCTTTTCTTGATTAAGTTTTTTCATTGAGTTGAGTTATATCTTGCAATTCATCTATCATGTTTAAAAATAACGTATGAAAAAGTATATTTATTATTATTATTTTTACTTTCTATATATTTAATCTCTGTCACATAACTTCAAGAGACAATATATTCAAATTTCAATATACTTTTATTTAATATTTTTCAAAAATTTATTACTATAAGAATAAATACATGAATATTTTATAAAAGTAATTATAATAAAGTAATTTTTTTATTAAAATAGTAAAATATTATTACTCCAAACACCCTTAAATACAAGTAGAGTTCTATACATGAGGCATTGAAAACATGAGGCATTCATGTGCTTTCTCAACCTATTTTCTTCTTGTTGTTTTTCTTGTTCCCAGTGATGGGAAACCTAAGGTCCCTGCATTGTTCATCTTTGGTGACTCTAGTCTTGATGTTGGATGTAATAATAATCTTAAAACATATGCTAAAGCAAACTACTTTCCTTATGGTAGAGATTTTGAGAATCATATTCCCACTGGAAGATTTTGCAATGGAAAACTTACTATTGACTATGCATGTAAAGCTTTTCTTCTTCCAAAAATTAAATTTTTACTTTTTTTTTTGTATTTAATTTTTTATCAATGTTTCTAAAAATCATTTAATTTTTACAGCTGAAAATCTTGGATTTACCTCTCACCAACCTGCTTACTCCACTTTAAATATCAAAGGAGATAACCTCTTGAATGGTGCTAGCTTTGCCTCATCTGGTTCTGGTTACCATGATACTACAGCAAAATTATGGGTGTGGATTCTCTAACTTTTTTTGTAGTAGTGTTGCTTTTATATTTTTAAATAATTTTAAGTGATTGTATTGGTAAATTCTAATGCAATTTTTTTTTGGATGTAGAATGTATTTACATTGAATGAGCAACTGGAATTTTTCAAGGATTATCAAAGAGAATTGATAAGAATAACAGGAAAACCAAATGCACTATCCATTATATCTGGTGGTATATATCTTGTTGGTGGAGGGAGTGGTGATTTTATATTAAATTATTACATAAATCCATTGCATTACACGGCATATTCACCTTACCAATTTTCAGACATTCTTATGCAATGCTACTCCAATTTCATTCAGGCATGCTTTTTTAACACCTTATCAATTTTTAAAGAGTTTATGAAATCTACTTACGAGATACATGAAAATAATTTTAACCATTTAGGCATTTATAATTTTGACTTTGTAGTATGTGATTCAACTAGCTATTATTATCTCTGAATATATAATGATTTTACTTTATATATTAATTTGACAGAAATTATATGCACTAGGAGCAAGAAAAATTGGTGTGCCATCGTTAGTTCCAATAGGTTGCTTTCCTGTGGTCATCACTTTACATGGTTTTCCTAGCTACAAATGTGTGTCCAAATTCAACAATGTTGCTATTTACTTTAATCAGAAGCTCAACTCAACATCACAGAAGTTGCTAAAAATGCTTCCTGGTCTAAATTTGAAAGTTCTTGAGACTTACCAACTTTTCTATAATATAGTCAACAAACCCTCTCAATATGGTACAAACCCTAACTATTCTAACTCAAATTAATTTATCTTATAGTTTAATTTGGTTTTGTTTCTGTGTTATACACTTTCATAGGGTTTACTGAAGCAAGGAAGGGTTGTTGTGGGATAGGCTTGATAGAGGTTTCGATATTTTGCAATCAAGAAGCCATTGGAACATGTGTTGATGCATCTCAATACGTGTTTTGGGATAGTATACATCCCACAGATGCCTTTAACAAAATTATGTCAGCTCATTTGCTTTCAGAAGCATCCCCTCTTCTGTCTTAAACATACAAATATGAAATACTACAGATGTAATCTTTATCTTTAAGGCTCTCTTTGCAATGTTGTGTTAAGAATAAGGTGAAACTCATGTGTCTGCATGGTATAATTGAATTGATCTAAAAAATTTCTTTTTAGAGAGTAAGTATTAAAAGTTTAGTGTAATATTTACCAAGAAAAAACACACTTCATTGTTAAACAAACTATGCATTAGATTTCCTAGAAATATATGGTAAAAATATGTTTTATATGTTAAATTGCAATGTTTAATATGTGCTAAATTTCAAGTAATTGAGTATAGTACAATTCAAGCTTGATCTATAAATATTTATATGAGATGAATACCTTAAAGATATATCTTATAGTGTTTAGGATGCGCCATAATTGAGATAATTAACTTTTTTAAGAGTATATATTTTAGGACTTATTGTGACTATCTAAGGGAAAAATCAACATTTCTTTCAATTTATTGAAAACCCTAATGACAGAAAGTTTTCCAATATCAATTACTAATTTTATGTGGAACTCGAAAAGGGTTGAAAAACCAACTGGTTCAAGGAATAGCTACTTGAAAGGAGTCTCATAGTTGTGATGTAGGAATAACTGATACTATGAATTTTGTGTGAATCAAGTCTCAAAGTGGTTGTGTTGTGAAGTCCGGTGGTCTCAATGAGTTATGTCAGAAAAGTTCAGGGTTTCGCATATAAGGTTTTGATAATCGGAGCTACCATTGAAATTGTAACTCTCAGATTTGAGAAGATATTAGAAGGTGGGTCAGTGAAGATTAGAGTGAGAGAAATAGTGAAAGTTTCTGGTTTAATGATGCTGAAGTGAGAAATCTCAAAGTTTGATGACGATGGAGGTTAGTTCGGTGAGATTTGTAGCGGTAGAAATATTGAGACTAAGCCATTGAATTGAAATAACTCACAGAATCAGTGAAAGTCGTCACCACACTTTATTTTATCCAAAGGAAATGGGAAAAGAGTGAATAAAACTCAAAATAAAATAAAGATCAAGGTAAGGGGGTTGATTATGCAAAGAGAAAATATTAGCACCTTAAACATCTACAGTACTCCGCAGGAACCTATTTGAAAATCTGTGTATTTTTCTTATAAAGAAATGTGTATAAAATATATCGTGGCGATGAGAAAATAAGTGGTTTTTATAATTTTTGCGTCCGCCGCGGTTGCGATTGCGAACCTTTTGTGCCTATGTACCACCTTTCGTGCAATAAGAGATCAGGGCACTCGTAGTTCTAAAAAATTTTGAAAAGTTTTGTGTGTTGGTTAATTTTAAGAAGAGACATCTCATCGTATTCGAGTGAAAATATACTTAGTACCGACAATTATGAGAAAGGAACATTTTCATCATCTCAAAGTGGAGGACATAGCTTAGATTTAAAATCAACAAGATATCACTTAAAACCCATGTGAAAAATAACTCACTTCACTATATAATATAGAAGTATAATAGCTCTCATCACTACAAGAATCAACAAGAGTCTAATCTTTGAAAAATATTTTTAAAAAAAGGCAAAGTGACAAAAGGGTTTGAATGAGGTTAAATGACTTTTAGTCTTCTAAAAAAAGTTAAAGTATGATTTAATTGATTAAAGGTTTGTTTAAGAAAAATAATTTTTGAAAATGCATGGACCTAAGTCCATGTTTATTATGAAAGTGGTTCAAGTTTTAAAAACAAGAAGGATTTTGAAAAGGAGAGAGAAGATTTTAAAATTAAAGAATACAGGAGGAGATGAATGTACTATCATATGTACACAAAGTAAAAGCTAAGGTATGGAAAGATCTATCCAACAAGAAGTCAACACTTGACATTAAAAAGTCAATGTAGAATTCTCATCCTTTTGATTAAAGCCACAAACATAGAATAGGCCAAGAGTAACATAATCATCCATGTGCAAATAAATCATGTAGCAAAGAAGTATCAAAGAAACCCAAGGTTTTAAAACTCAAATCGAGGTCTTCAATATTGAGTCAATGTTCCATATATATCACTTAAGGCCAACACAATAACACATGCACACAGAAGATTTCTCAATACACAAGCAATATAACAATGAAGTAACACAAGGTCCAAAGGTCTCAAAGTATCAAGGCTTCTAATCCTAAGTCCAAATTATCCATAACTCCAATATGCCAAGGATAATAACATATAGTCCATAAAGAGATTTAAGTCTTTTAATATTCAAGTTGGTTATTAAGTGTCTTAAAAAGAAAAGGAAAAGCTCAAGCGAGGAAAGGTAAAGTGACATGAAAATAAATTCTCAAGTGAACAAAGATAAAATGACATAAAAGTAAATGCTCAAATGAGAAAAAGGCGAATAACATGAAATGTAAATGTTAAAGATAAAAGTGCATAAAATAAAGGCATAAAATAAATGCATAAAGTAAAGATAATTGTTAATGAGTTATAAGAGTTAGAAGTTAGAAGTTAGAAGTTAATGGTCACAAATATGATCAATGATGATTGAATGATGATATTGGACCAAGAATAATGAAAACTAATTAGAGGATTGATAGAATCAAAACCTTCTAACAACAATTCTCAAAGGTATTGGACCCAATATAAATCAACCATACTTGGACATACAAACATAAAGTTTAGGCCACGAATGATCATTTTTCGAATCGGGAAAATTTTAGCACTATGTTAAGCAATAGTAAGTGGACTTTTGTAGAAGTCGCACTTATTTTGAGGTCGGTCAATAGCAGTATATGTACCATACATGTTAGAGACATGGTAAAAATCAAGCTCCTAAAACATGTAGCACAAAAAAACATAAAGAAGAAGGTGGATCAATTCAATAATAAATGATCAATGATGATTGGAGATTGAACTTAGGTCAAATTTGATTAAGACTTATTAGAGGATTGGTAAAACCAAAGTCTCCTAGCAACAAGCTTCAAAGGTTTTGATTTTTGAGTCATGGTTCAATAATCAATCATACTTGGACAATTTCAAACATAAAGCTTGGGCCACTAATGATCACTTAAAGAAAAAGAAGAAGGGGATAAGATGAATATGGAGGAAATGAGCAGTCATTTTAGATCATATCCTCAAATTTCTTTCATCTTCAAGTTCAATCACTCATAATTGATGGATTAAAGCACTAAATATATCACTAATTCAAAGCACCAAATACTAGAAATCGATTTTTCTCATTGTTTTTTGCACCAAGAATCTCATCCTTTGAATTAATGAATATTTATCAAACTTCATCTACATCCTAAGTCCGTTGAATTTGAAGAGAATTTGGGCATTCAAAATTGTAATCTAAAGCAACAATCAAAACAAAGGAGTAGAAAAAAGAAAAGGAACAAAAATAGTCCTAAAACAAGTCAAAAAACTGCATTCTGCCTTCAGGAAATCGATTTCTCCATATAGAGGAATCGATTTCTTGTGCTGATTTTTCAAATTTTGGTGCAAAAACAGTGAGAAAAATCGATTTATAGTATTTGGGAAATTGATTTCTGCTGCAAAAAGAAAAACATAAATATGCATTTTAAAGAGAAGACTTTTGATCAAATATTTCATCAAATACCTTATAATCTTGGATTTAATTGATCATGAAAATTCTATCAAATTATGATAAATTAGCACCAATAGAAGAAAAAAAATAGCTCAAAGAATTAAACCACAAAGATCCACAAGAGATCACATTGTGAAAGATGAATATCAAACTTAACAATGGTGAATCCAAAAATTTATCTATTCAAAACTGAAATAAGCTTCAAATCATCTCCAAGAGTCAAACTCCCAAGTTTTGATTTAGAAAATTAAAGAAGAAAAAAATGTTTGGATGGAAGTTTAGCTCAAAGATTAGTAAGCTTCAATGAAAAGTTTACTAACTTTCATGGAAAATGAGGTTTGAGTGATTTTGGATAGATGAAAAAATTTGAGAGAATTTTTAGCAAGGTGAATTTGGCTATCAAAAGCTCGATGAATGAATGAAATGAGGGCTCTATTTATAGAGTTTAGGATTATGATTATTGGTGATTTGGAGTTTGGTTTGGGAACAAAATTAGACTTTGTAATTGATTTTTGGAGCCAAAATTAAATCAAGCGAAGAACATGTAATCAAATAAGGGTGTATGATAGAATTTAATTATGATGAGGTAGGAGAATTCTTTTTTTGATAATCAAGAATATTTTCAAAAAAAGTAAATTGGAGCCACATGCTACAAACTTGAAAATGTTTTTTTTTTTTGGCAATTTCGCACAGGAAATGGATTTCTCCATATAGAAAAATCAATTGCTATTGCGAAAAATTGAAATCTTGGCACAAAATTAGTGAAGGAAATCGATTTTCTGTATATGGAAAATTGATTTCTACATGGAAAAATGGAAAAAAGCTCTGTTGGTTGGATGCTTTGGCTCGATACCTACAAAACACAAATATACAAGGAAAACAAAGCATATATTTTTGGTATTTTGATTAGAGGTCAGTAAAAATATAAAACACATATATACAAGATACACAATTAGGGTGTTTGGTGATCCTTCAAAGACAAACTTAAAGATAAGAGAAAATAGAAGAGATAACCAACCCAAATGCGTGATCTTGATGCATTGTGATGATATGAGATGATAGAGGATCGTAGAGAAAAAATTGGAGTATAACAAAATTTATATTTTGTTTTAAAGAGGCAATACTTTTTATGTTTGAAGAGGAGAAAAGGTTTTAGCTAAACGAAGATAAAAAATGTGAAATAAAAAAATTAATGGCTTTTTATTTGGTGGAAAGACCAACAATAGTGTAATTAGGTAAATGCTATTTTAAGGTTATTGGTTTTGTCAGCGCATACAGAAAAAAATGCTATTAACATTTTCTTAATAATTTTTTTATATTTTGGTTAACAACATTCGATAACGCTTAAAGAAAAGGCGGTAATATTAGATTCAACCTATAATAACGCCCAACAATAAAGTGCTATTATAGTTATATATGTGAGTTTTTTAATAGCACTTTTAAATAAAACGCTATTAAA